AATTTGAAAAACAACTGTCATAAAACACATCATCTATATTATATGTAAACCTTGCAGGGAGAACACATCATTTCCAATTAAGGATATCCAAATTGAACCTCATGCTGCTCACATATTGATCGTATCATCGGAAGTAGGACTCAAAGTCAACCAGAAATCCCATGTTTCTCCCCATGTTCCCGTTCCGCTGGTGTTCGAACGATGGGCCAAGCTGCTTCTGGATCAGCTGCTGCCAACGGTCGGGCACACTTTGGTACCACTCAGGAAAGACGCTGGCAATGTGACCATCTCCACCTGGCTTTAGTGGGTTGACCCCAACAAAAATCCGATGAAGGCCTGGGCACTATGATGATTCTGATGATTCATCAGTGGATTTGGATGGATTTGGGGTATACTCCGCTTTTGGACAAGCCCGGAGGGCATATTTTTAAGCTTATGCAAAACAGCTAAGGATAACTCAAATTTGGCCTATATAATATTCTTGTTTCAGAATCAAACACTAACAGGTTGGTAGAATGAGCAGCATAATAAGTGAATGCGTTTTCCTGCAGCATCAAGAATTAAATGGTGAGGAGTCCTTACCGAAAGTCCCAACAATCGCTTGCTAGCACCACTTACTTCGGTTCGGGCTGGTAAAACCTTTCTGTCCGGCCCTTATACATTGTTTTTTTAGGGATTCCCTCACTGGTCTATAGCAGTTAGCCTCACTGATCCACCAGCAACCCATTTTCCCACCAACAAACAGAGCTCTTCATTAAAGATATTGTCAGTCAAGCGAGACTGGATTGTGCTTACTGGCTTACTAAACCGATCAATTGGTATGTATGTAATTTACATAAATACTGCAAAGGCAATACATATGTAATATACATGTAATTACATGTATGTATGATCGTATGCAAATCACACTTAAGTTAGCCATCAAACATCGTGTTGCTGAAAAAAAACATCGCCATCTGCTTCCCGCCTAGTCCAAAGGTCACCAAATGGGGGCCACTTTCCTGCCATGCCGTGGAGCAAACTCAACCATATCTCTTAAATGGAACCAACCAATGGTTATATATGGAAGTTTCTTGAAATGGGGGTACCCCCAAATCATCCATTTTCAAAGGGTTTTCCAATAGATGAATGTAGAGAACTAAAATGGCTGAGTTTTCACCAGCTATCTGAAAATGAAGGTTTCTTTTTCCGAAGTTGTGGCCATTATGCCATTGGGACAACAATGACTAATCGGTAGATATCTCGGATATCCTATTAGAAACCCCTCATGTGTTGAATTAAAGCCATAGTAAATCGTTGTTTACCCTAATTCTCAACAAATCAGCCTTAGTGAGTTCTGGGCTTCAAATCCTGTTCATTGGATCGGTATCATTTGGGAGTCACACCAGTCTTTTGTCGCATGTTTTCATGGTTTTTGAATTTCAATTGGGAATTAAAAACACAATTTCTTGACCAAATGATCTTGGCAACCCAACCGGTTGCCATTTGGGTCTTAAAATCGGCCTCCCCGAGTCATCCAAGTCATCCCAATGTCATCCCATAATGGCATGATGGGCATGGATTGATGACCCATATTTTTTCGATTTCATTGGTTATAATCCAATGAAATCTGGCAAATATCCCCAAGAATATCCCCTTCATATATGGTGGCTAAATCCAACTTTTGACGGTGGCATATGATTATATATGCATGTATATGTATATATGATATATATACACATATACATAGTAATTACCCCACCAAATAGATAGAGCGTTAAAATAGCGATGTTTACAATATCACGTGTCTATCTTTTTTGGGGTGTTACTATACCAAACTATACCAGTATAATCTTATCATAGATATTGGAAGCATGTCATTCCCCATATATTCTGTTGGAGACGGAGAGCAGCTCCTCCTCAAGCACTTTGCAAAGGCGCTGTTCGTAATCCTCGTCGACTGGATGCGGAAGAAAGGAAAGCCATGAAGTCATGGGCTGTTTTACCCCAAGACTGGGATACACATATAATGTTACATGGGTAATACACATATACATTGGAATATGTATGTATATATATATATTGTTGATACATGTTGATAACAGTTTATATACCATCTGGGAATTTAACATTGTGCCATGGAAACTTGGCCTTTTAGTTCGATGATTTGCTTAACTTAATTATTCAATATTGCGGGCCATGTTCTGCGGCTATGTAAATTACCAGTGGGTATCAGAGGGTATATAAATGTATATAAATATGATCAACCAACATCCAAATCAGCTGAGAGGAATTTACAACTGGAAGGCCTTGCCGACTGGCCAGCCTGGCTTTTTGTTGCTGAGGTTCCAGCTGGGTACCCATGAGCCCCAGGGCTGTTGGTCTTTTGAACGGAAAGAGTTCAGCATAACCAGCTACTGACCAATCCACCAACCCCACGGCCCATCCAAAGAAGCCGCCACTGAGTCAATCCAAAACTGCCCAAATTGTCGTTCCCGGGAAAATCCACAAAAATCAGTGTGCGGAAAAACACCACAGTCACAATTTGGAGCCTTGTAGACCTAGCAGGTAGTATGAAACAATGGTTTTCAGAAAACGTCTCACGAAACCAATAAACATACAAATACATTTCGTGGCCAAGTTGGTTTCACCGGTTTTTGGTCCTTAAAAAAAAACAAAACCATGATTTCAGGGCGCTGTTTGGCTTGGAGTAAGAAACGATGGATCTCCATGCTTCCATTTTTAAATCTATACTATGTGCGTATATATATATATATATATACACATAATCATGTACAAACACAAGTAGATACACATAGCCACAGCCTGCCGGGGTCCTCTGCACACGCAGCAGCAGGCGCGATGCTGGTGTCCGGAAGGATCTCAAGGCCGACCGGCCGAAGAAATCCGCCAACTTTTGTAGGAAAATGATCTGAAAGGGTGATTTTCCATATTTTTCCTACACAATACAATATATATATATATGCATAAATAGGGATTGAAACCAAGAGAACCTATAAATTGTTTCTATAAAATAATAAGATTCGATAGTAAATTTGATGGGTTCCAAGAATAATATGTTGTTGAATCGTGGGTGACATCTAGTGTCAACCCCGAATTAATAAACCTGGCGTGTTAATGAGGGTGGTGAATTATTGTTAACCATGGTTAACCCTCGAACAGCGAGTTCATCTGCTATCAAAACCGTACACCTCCAATTTGACAGCCCAGGGATTAACTATTGCGGGGCTGATATTACATGAGAATGACTATACGTGAGTATGCACGGTTATACTATATCATTGCACATTCAACAAACATCTGTACTGTTGTGAGTAAACATCCCATCCATGGATTCCGTATGTTTGTAGGAAAAAATAAAATAGAATCGGTGGAACAAATTTGAACAAAACACATGGGAACTTCCATGACTCCCTGCATAGTGGTGTCACCTCTGAAGATTAAGTACTGATTAAGATGATTAAGTGAAGTAGAAACACAACTTGGACCCACATATCGCTGTGTGTATGGTGTAGGGTCGGCTCATGCCACAACATCATGGCATATTAAAATTATATATTGCATATATTATATTCAGTTCTATTCATATCATATGTGGGGGCATAACTGAGGACTAAAACTCAAATCGTTGCGTCAAAGAGCCATGGGTTTCCTCACGGTCACGGGAACCCACCCTTGGAATAGAAGGGACATTCAATATTTCAATGCATTTCTGACTATGTAGCTGTGGGTTCTAAACTGACTATAACAATCTATAACATATATAACTGTACATCAAAATATGTAATGGTACGTATGTCTGAAATTGTCTGCATATGCCATGCCTCATCCAAAGGTGATGAATCAACCCTTTCCCACCCCTCCCGCACCAGATTCGCTTCAGGAAATCCGGCAGCACGTCGGTGCAAGTTTTTCACCTCATGGATTTTCACCAAACTACGAAGGCTTCAGCCACTAATCATATATGCAGCAACCTCGGGCGATTTTCTGGTAAAAAAAACGTGGTAAAAAAAAATTGTCTAGACATTGGGGAGGATACATTGTCAGTTTGAATTCTGAGCAAAAAAAACGTAACATATCACAACGAACAGCCGTGCTCGAACATGCCGCCAGCTGTGCCCTCATTGGGTGACCGTATGGCGGGTACCATTGTCAAAATTTATATTTATATCGACCTGGTTGGTGGTTGAACATGAAACAACAACACCTTAGCGCATAGAAGTGTGTGTGTGAGTGTGCAAATATATATATATAGTTTCATATAGATGGCTAATCGATGATAGAAATTGGGAAATGTCAAGTTTTATGGGTTTTTGCTGAAATATTTTTCACCAAGCTGAAAATAACCGAAACTCGCGGTGAGGTGAATATAATTTATCCAAATAATTCAGATAGTTTCATTTAGTTTGATAATTTATATATATATAATTAATATAAATAAGATATATATATATAAAGGAAAATATTTAAGATCTATATATATATATATCAAATTAAATAAAATAAATAAATAAATTTAATAAATTCATAAAAAATGAATAAAAAATAGATAAATACATATATATATAGTTTTATATAGCTGCATGTAATATACCTTGATATAGTTTGATAAAGCAGCTTGACATAGCTTGATATATGGAGAGTGTATCAACTACCAAACGTGCAATGTTGGAATTGCCCTCTAGCTGGGAAAAAACTTATACATGGGCATTTAGATGGGAGAATGCTCCATAAACCATGCTTGATTACCGGAGGAACTATTTGTGGGGGTGATGAAACATAGAAATTACTCTATAAAGTATATTCCAGTGATAACGTTCAATATATAGCGCCGTTGAGAAGTGCTGCAGCATCCAGACGCCAAGCGCAAAAGCGATAGACCCCGAGGGCCCACAGCACTGATTTGATAACGTTCAACATCTATCAAATTTTGCAAACCCTACAAAATGAAACAACTATAGAAAGATGTTCCCAGGGTGGTATAGGTAGACAATGCTTCCCCTATATTTTCCAGGTTTCCAACTTTTCCCGAGAGCGTCTGCGCGAAGGGTTCTTCCTGTCTGTGAAAACGTCTGTGTGTAAAAGCGTCTTGTGTAAAAGCGTCTGTGGGTAAAAGCCTTTGTGTGTAAAAGTGCCTGTGAGTAAATGAGCCTGTCTGTGAAAGCGTCTGTGTGTAAAAGCGTCTGTGTGCAAAGACGTCTGTGTGTAAAGGCATCTGTGTGTAAAGACATCTGTGTGTAAAAGCGTCTTGTGTAAAAGCATCTGTGTGTGAAGGAGTCTGTGTGTGAAGGCATCTGTGTGTAAAGGCATCTGTGTGTAAAAGCGTCTTGTGTAAAAGCGTCTGTGGGTAAAAGCCTCTGTGTGTAAAAGTGTCTGTGAGTAAAGGAGCCTGTCTGTGAAAGCGTCTGTGTGTAAAAGCGTCTGTGTGCAAAGACGTCTGTGTGTAAAGGCATCTGTGTGTAAAGACATCTGTGTGTAAAAGCGTCTTGTGTAAAAGCATCTGTGTGTAAAGGCGTCTGTGTGTGAAGGCATCTGTGTGTAAAGGCATCTGTGTGTAAAAGCGTCTTGTGTAAAAGCGTCTGTGTGTAAAAGCGTCTGTGTGCAAAGACGTCTGTGTGTAAAGGCATCTGTGTGTAAAGACATCTGTGTGTAAAAGCGTCTTGTGTAAAAGCATCTGTGTGTAAAGGCGTCTGTGTGTGAAGGCATCTGTGTGTAAAGGCATCTGTCTGTAAAGACATCTGTGTGTAAAAGCGTCTTGTGTAAAAGCATCTGTGTGTAAAGGCATGTGTGTGTGAAGAAATCTGTGTGTAAAGGCATCTGTGTGTAAAAGCGTCTTGTGTAAAAGCGTCTGTGGGTAAAAGCCTCTGTGTGTAAAAGTGTCTGTGAGTAAAGGAGCCTTTCTGTGAAAGCGTCTGTGTGTAAAAGCGTCTGTGGGTAAAAGCCTCTGTGTGTAAAAGTGTCTGTGAGTAAAGGAGCCTGTCTGTGAAAGCGTCTGTGTGTAAAAGCGTCTGTGTGCAAAGACGTCTGTGTGTAAAGGCATCTGTGTGTAAAGACATCTGTGTGTAAAAGTGTCTTGTGTAAAAGCATCTGTGTGTAAAGGCGTCTGTGTGTGAAGGCATCTGTGTGTAAAGGCATCTGTGTGTAAAAGCGTCTTGTGTAAAAGCGTCTGTGGGTAAAAGCGTCTGTGTGTAAAAGTGTCTGTGAGTAAAGGAGCCTGTCTGTGAAAGCGTCTGTGTGTAAAAGCGTCTGTGTGCAAAGACGTCTGTGTGTAAAGGCATCTGTGTGTAAAGACATCTGCGTGTAAAAGCGTCTTGTGTAAAAGCATCTGTGTGTAAAGGCGTCTGTGTGTGAAGGCATCTGTGTGTAAAGGCATCTGTGTATAAAAGCGTCTTGTGTAAAAGCGTCTGTGGGTAAAAGCCTCTGTGTGTAAAAGTGTCTGTGAGTAAAGGAGCCTGTCTGTGAAAGCGTCTGTGTGTAAAAGCGTCTGTGTGCAAAGACGTCTGTGTGTAAAGGCATCTGTGTGTAAAGACATCTGTGTGTAAAAGCGTCTTGTGTAAAAGCGTCTGTGGGTAAAAGCCTCTGTGTGTAAAAGTGTCTGTGAGTCTGTGTGTAAAAGCGTCTGTGTGCAAAGACGTCTGTGTGTAAAGGCATCTGTGTGTAAAGACATCTGTGTGTAAAAGCGTCTTGTGTAAAAGCATCTGTGTGTAAAGGTGTCTGTGTGTGAAGGCATCTGTGTGTAAGGGCATCTGTGTGTAAAAGCGTCTTGTGTAAAAGCGTCTGTGGGTAAAAGCGTCTGTGTGTAAAAGTGTCTGTGAGTAAAGGAGCCTGTCTGTGAAAGCGTCTGTGTGTAAAAGCGTCTGTGTGCAAAGACGCCTGTGTGTAAAGGCATCTGTGTGTAAAGACATCTGTGTGTAAAAGCGTCTTGTGTAAAAGCATCTGTGTGTAAAGGCGTCTGTGTGTGAAGGCATCTGTGTGTAAAGGCATCTGTGTGTAAAAGCGTCTTGTGTAAAAGCGTCTGTGGGTAAAAGCGTCTGTGTGTAAAAGTGTCTGTGAGTAAAGGAGCCTGTCTGTGAAAGCGTCTGTGTGTAAAAGCGTCTGTGTGCAAAGACGTCTGTGTGTAAAGGCATCTGTGTGTAAAGACATCTGTGTGTAAAAGCGTCTTGTGTAAAAGCATCTGTGTGTAAAGGCGTCTGTGTGAAGGCATCTGTGTGTAAAGGCATCTGTGTGTAAAAGCGTCTTGTGTAAAAGCGTCTGTGGGTAAAAGCGTCTGTGTGTAAAAGTGTCTGTGAGTAAAGGAGCCTGTCTGTGAAAGCGTCTGTGTGTGAAGGCATCTGTGTGTAAAGGCATCTGTGTGTAAAGACATCTGTGTGTAAAAGCGTCTTGTGTAAAAGCATCTGTGTGTAAAGGCGCCTGTGTGTGAAGGCATCTGTGTGTAAAGGCATCTGTGTGTAAAAGCGTCTTGTGTAAAAGCGTCTGTGGGTAAAAGCGTCTGTGTGTAAAAGTGTCTGTGAGTAAAGGAGCCTGTCTGTGAAAGCATCTGTGTGTAAAGGCGTCTGTGTGTGAAGGCATCTGTGTGTAAAGGCATCTGTGTGTAAAAGAGTCTTGTGTACAAGTGTCTGTGGGTAAAAGCGTCTGTTTGTAAAAGTGTCTGTGAGTAAAGGAGCCTGTCTGTGAAAGCGTCTGTGTGTAAAAGCGTCTGTGTGTGTAAAGGCGTCTGTGTGTAAAGGCATCTGTGTGTAAAGACATCTGTGTGTAAAAGCGTCTTGTGTAAAAGCATCTGTGTGTAAAAGTGTCTGTGAGTAAAGGAGCCTGTCTGTGAAAGCGTCTGTGTGTAAAAGCGTCTGTGTGTCAAGGGGCCTGTGTGTAAAGGCATCTGTGTGTAGAAGCCTCTGTGTGTAAAAGCGTCTGTGTGTAAAAGCGTCTTTGTGTGTAAAAGTGTTTGTGCGTAATACGTCTGTATGTATAAGCGTATGTGTGTGATACAGTCTTTGTGTAAGAGCACAGTTGTGTGTACGGCATGTATGTATGTATGTATGTATGTATGTATGTGTGTATGTATGTGTGTATGTATGTGTATGTATGTGTATGTATGTGTATGTATGTGTATGTATGTGTATGTATGTGTATGTATGTGTATGTATGTGTATGTATGTGTATGTATGTGTATGTATGTGTATGTATGTGTATGTATGTGTATGTATGTGTATGTATGTGTATGTATGTGTATGTATGTGTATGTATGTGTATGTATGTGTATGTATGTGTTTGTATGTGTATGTATGTGTATGTATGTGTATGTATGTGTATGTATGTGTATGTATGTGTATGTATGTGTATGTATGTGTATGTATGTGTAAGTATGTGTATGTATGTGTATGTATGTGTATGTATGCATGTATGCATGTATGCATGTATGCATGTATGCATGCATGCATGCATGTATGTATGTATGTATGAGCATGCTTGTATGTAAAAATGTCTCTCTCAATTCTTCTTCCTCTGTCTCCTTCGTTTCATTATTCTTTTATTTCTCCTTCAGTTTCTTCATATGTACCTATTTTTTCTCCTTCTTTTTTTTTTTCATATGTACCTACTTTTCACAACATGTATGCACCATGTCTCTTCATTTTAGGCATCATCGCATGTTTGTATATTTATGTTTCATGCTATAAGATCTTCATACTTATACCTCTCACTATGCTCCTCTGCGCTCTCAGGCAATCTGTCGTCTATTTTCATTTTGGGGAATAAATCCACCCTGAACTTCTTGCCACATCATCCCCAGGTTGCCCGCGGGCCCTGGGGCCCGTGACCAGCGTGTCGCGGATCAGATAGGAGTTGCTCTCCTGAATCATCCCAGTATGATTCAGCAGGAGTTGAAGCATTTGAATGATCCCTGGGTTGACGTTTGGTGACTGTATCACCCGCCTTCCAATAAGTTGACACAAACGTGGAAAGAAAAAACATGGTTTCCTGCTCGGACAATGATCTACAAATGGTGAGTTTTCCATACCCATGTTAATTATACTGGAGGATATACCGGTATATCCCAAAAAAACATATTTAAAAAACATAGTCAATTAGGGCATCCAGTTGGAAGGGAGACAGGAAAACTTGTGATCCAAGAACCACTGGAGCCTCCTATCTCATGTGTCAGCTCTCATTTTTGAGGGATACCAGGGTACCTTGGGAGATCTTAGGAGCCTGTGGTTCCCACATGTTTTTAGCACCCAAATCCACAATCAACACAGTTGGACCCGCCTTTGTCCAGCCAAGCTTCAACACAACATGTTTTTTGCTTGCTTATGATATGCACATTGTCGATGCTATGTTTCACATTTGACATGGAAGGGGATTAATTTGCACCTGCACACAGGAATGACACCATGTTACGGAACATGCCTGGTGTAGATGGAAACATACTTTGTTAGCTAGCAGCAGCTGTTGGGGGCTGCAATAAAGTGCCCAAAATCCTGCGTTTCTCGATGTGTGGCCACTGGGTTAGAAAATTTGAAAACCCCAGAATCCAGTGATGAAGTGATGATTCTCCCAACTCTCCCGATGAAATTGCAATCATTTGGCAACATATACCCCATTTTTAGGCACCACACATTGCCACACTCAAATATGTTTATCGAATATCTCCATTCACATCCCTATGAAATCACCACGAGCCCATGTTGTTTGCATGTTTCAAAGGTCTTTCCCGTCATTCATCCAGAACATTCCAAATCAATCAACAAATTGGACATGAATTTCAAGAAATTATGGCCATGTAGCCCCATGAACCCCATTTTGATGTTTTTTCGCTGTAGGCCCTGGGTCTCGTCTCCTCCTGGCTGCGGCAGCCATAGCGCTCGTCCACCAGGAAGACCTTGCCAAAAGCGTTGTCCAATGCCGGGCCATGATGAAGTTACATGGTCAAGTTATCGATGTATTGTATGTAGTATAGATGTAAAATATGTATGTGTACTTAAACGTATTGTATATATTTATATATATATAGTATTTCTGTTGTATCAATATATATATAATAATATACATATATTAAATATGTGTGTACAGTATATATATGTATAGTATGTACCGTACATTATGTACATATAGTATGTACATGTAAATAAAAATACATGCTATACATATGTATATAAATGTGTGTAATTATTATTGTATGTGTGTGTGTGCGAATGGGTCAAGTTACATGGGGTTAGTGGTTTGTAATATGGTCATCCATTCCATGCCATGGGAATCCAAACATACTTCCCCAAGCAGTGTGGCCACACTGAGGGTTCTTATGGTAACAGTTAAGGCCCGGTGTTCAATCGAGGTGGTTTCCTTAGCGTCCGGCATTTTCCCTGAACATTTGAACACAAAATTGCCTTGTGAAATGTCCATGTGCATTTCGACTGCGCAGGCTCACACAAAACAGTGGCCCCGAGATTAGCGTCCGGTCTAAAATTCCACACAAAATGGCTCTTGTGACATGTCCATGTCCATTTCGACTGCGCAGGCTCGCACAAAACGGGTGTGGCGGGGTTAGCGTCTGGCACTAGGCTCGGACAAAACGAGACATCTCATACAGAACTCTTGCCAAGAGACCTCTTTATCGGGAGATTGTACAGAGATCTTGCCAGGAGACCTCTTGTGAAGATCTTGTTCAGAGATCTTGCCAATAGGTCTCTTACAGAGATCTTGCCAACAGAGCTCTTATAGAGATTAAGTACAGAGACCTGGTGAAGAGAGCAGCGATCTTTCTCAGAGATCTTTTATAAGAGCTTGAACAGAGATCTTGCTCTCGGGTGCCTCACAGAGATCTTCTGTGGCAATCTCTTATGGAGAGATCTTTTTTCACGGTCTTGCCAATAGACCTCATACGGGGATCTTGTGCAGAGATCTTGCCAGGACACCTCTTTTGGAGATCTTGTACAGAGACATCGCATGGAGACCTGTTGCAGAGATCTTGCCAATAGGTCTCTTACATAAATCTTTCCAAGAGAACTCTTCCAGAGAGCTTGTATAGGAGATTTCATAAAGAGATCTTGTACAGAGACATTGCATAGATATCTGTTGAGGTCTTGCCAAGACACCCCTTGCAGAATTGTTGCTAAGAGACCTCTTATAAAGCTCTTGTACAGAGATCTTGCCAGGACACCTCTTCTGCAGACTTTGCACAGAGACAGTGCATGGAGATCTGTTGCAGGGATCTTGCCAAGAGGTTTCTTACATACATCTTGCCAAGAGGGCATTTATAGAGAGCTTATACAGATGTCGTAAAGAGATCTTGCCAAGAGATCTCGTATAGATATCTTGGTCGTCTTGCCCAGAGACCTCTTCAAGAGATCTGTGCAGAGAGAGCTCTTATAGAGATCTTGTACAGAGATCTTGCCAGGGGACCTCTTTTGGAGATCTTGTACAGGGACCTGGTGAAGAGAGCAGAGGTCTTGCTCGGAGATCATTTAGAGATAGTAATAGCTTGAGCAGAGATCTTACTTTGAGATCCCGTGCAAAGATCTTCTGTGGAGATCTCCTATAGAGACACCTTGTACAGATAGCCTTACACAGGAATCTTGCACAGCAGCTTCTACAGAGAACTTCTCAGTGAGATCTTGCGCACGATCTTCTACAGAGATCTTCACAAAGGGAAACTTGCAGAATCTGACCTGGTATCTCTTCTTTTCACTACTAGGGTCGCTCTGGCCCTGCTAGCTTGCAGCCACTGATGATTTTAGGTCCTTTCCACCTTGCTCTTTGTAATCCTAACTACACACTGTTTGGGGTCTCTTGCCGGGGAAATGAGTGTTTTTAAATCCCTATCAGTGGGTTGATGACCATTCCGGACCATCCCCCAATATGGGTATACAATTGTTTTTTACCATGGCACATATGACAATATCAGGTATAATCATCAATCCCAGAATGGGAATGCAAACATCATCGGTGCCGGATGTCTCATAGGTAATTCCATTCCGCATGGAGTGATGACCATCCTCCAATATAGGCGATTTACCCAAGCCTTGACCATGGCCGATATACTGTAGGGATATCTTGGGGGATGCAATGGCATCTGCATATACAAATTTCCATTGAGATAAACGCATTTCATTGCCCATTGTCGCCTTTTGCCTTTCCCCACAACCAGGCCAAGAGACATAGACTCTGGACCAGTCCACGCTCATGCGGCCAGCCAGGGTGGACCACACGTCCGCCTGCCTAGGGGGTTGGGGCATTCACCTGGAAAATGTATGAAAATGCGCCGAAATTGTGTGGAAAATATGGGAAAACTTTGGGATCCCACCAGCAAAATGCTGATTTCACCCAAGTTCAATTTTTCGGTTTTCGCCACGAAAACTGTCAGGTGAGGGTTGTTAAAGTTTATGTCAGCTGTAATCCTCCTCCTCCTTCTCCTTCACCTCGTCCGCCGCCGCCGGACCTCAACTGCAAGCAGACCCGATGGATCAGATCGAGTGGTCCCCGCCGGACCTCAACTGCAAGCTCGGGTCGCACTGTTCAAGCTCGGGATCAGATCGAGTACCTCAACTGCAAGCTCGTGATCGCAGTGTTCCCCGCCAGACCTCAATTACAAAGAATCTCCGAAGATATACCAGGTAGAATGCAAGAAAGAATGTCAGAAGATATGCCAGATAGAATGCCAGAAAGAATGTCAGAATATATGCCAGAAGGTATGAGGTATGATGTCAGAATAGATGCCTGATAGAATGCCAGACAGAATGTCAGGGTATATGCCAAAAAGAATGACTTCCAGATGGTATGTCAGAAACTATGTCAGAATCATGTATTGATCCAGGGTGGGGATCACTCGAAGAAAGTAGTTTTTCTGGATTTTAGACATAGATTTGGTTCCCCAAAATGGGGGAACACAAAACATACATAACATAACATAACATAACAAACCATAACATAACATAACAAAACATAACATATAACACAACCTAACATGACATATTAAAACATAACATATACAGTAATGTAATATATTTTAAATATAAATCAAAATAACAATCTAAATAATATATAAAACATAATAAAATACGATATAAGATAGTAAACTATGATAAACTATATAAAATATAAGACAATAACATTTATATAATATATATATAATAAACATAATATATATATATATAATCATTTAATAGCATAATATAACATAGTAATATAATACAATTGTTAATATACAATAACATACATATAATTAGTAAAATATATAAAAAATAACATACACACATCATACATAATCAAAACATAATATATATATATACATAATGCAATAGTTGTTTAATAATAGTATTACATAAATTAACATATCCAACATATATATATATACTGTAATATAAAGTAAAACACCAAAAACAAATATACTATGCAATATGTAATACGTAACATATAATATATATATATATGTGCTTATGGCGCTGAAAGCCATGTAGTATGTGTCCTCTTCCCAGTGGTGCGCTGATGAAAAGACAACCGATAGAACAATGTGAATCCGTATGGATACAAAATGGACCATCATGGTTCTACCGAAGCGACCCCTATAGCCCATGGGATCCGCTCCTGGACCCAATCGATTGGTTTCAAGCTATGCCACAAATTTCAAAAACAAAATCATAATCACCCTTGAGTTTCAGGATTTAAAACAACATAGCTCAAACCACCAACCATGTATGTAAATGTATATCCATATATGAAATTAAATACAACTGTATATTCACATCAAATATCCCACCCTTGGGTGTCTCATATCCCAATTTTTCACCTCGACCCAGCGCCCCCGATAGCGCACCTGGCACGGCGCATGCGGCCATTGGAGGCAGAGAGACCCAGGACGAAGCTGGCAGCCTTGGTCCAGCATAGTTCGACCATTGACATGGATTTGAGGATCATTAGGATTACCCTTGGGTAGCTTCACATAGCTATGGTATAGATGGCCATAGAAATAGTTGGTTTACCTTTAAAAAATGGTGATTTCCATAGCTTCTTGTATATTCACTAGAGGGTCGACCATATTGGAATCAATGGTCAACATCAATTCATAACAATGACATATTCAAAACCAGAATATTTCAATGGCCATTTCAGGAACCTAAATTGGAGGTACCTACCATATATAAGGCCTATGTAAGGGAATATCTCCACAAAATATGGCCTTATATGGTACTAACGTACCTCCATTTTAGGATCCTGGAATTCCCATTGAATATTTAGAATCAAACATAAAAAATCAGCTATGTATGCACTCGCTTGGACTCTCCCATTGGAATCCAACATATCTCAGAAAAAAAAAGTTTGGATTCGTGGATATGTAGAGAATAAAGGGGACAGTGGGATATGTATATTTACCTATATCTATGCAATGATGAAATATGATAAACTATGAACATTTTTTGTAAATGGATGTGAATGGATGGTTTATGGGTAAAAACATTGCACTTTATCGGGATATACAATCTGATGATATAATTAATTGGTAATTGTATATTAAACCACCCAAAATGGTATGGAATAGCAAACACGAATATTGTGGTATGTACTGAACCCAAAAGAAAGTATGAGACTGTCAGAGTGTCAGACCAATGATTTAACAGAAGATATGATGACAAGAACAAATAACTGAGATGTAACCGCGATTTCAGTAGGTGATCATCAATCAGTAAATGATGAAATATAGTTAATAAATCAAAAAAACTAATATAATCATCATATGAATAATCAAATGATGATCATATGATCATTGATATAATCCCCATACATGTTATTGGAACAATAAAATCCCCATATAATCATCAATAGTAATTAATCAATCATCATATGATAACTTGTTTGTTTTTGTTTCCAATAGTAATGGGGGTCCAATAAATCCAACAATTCTGGCCCCGGGCCCCCGGACACTTCGTCCTTGGTGTTTGGCAATGCATTCCTCTCGCGGCTCCGCGAGCTAAGAGCGCTTGGAAAATGGTCATGCAACACATAGATTCTGCTGAATTTGAAATAAGTGTATTTGTATACTATGTTTTATATGTATTATGTATATATATATACATATACATCATGTGTCTAAATAAATTGCAGTTTAAAAGAGATCAACAACTATTTATGTGGCTTGAAGTTTCCTTGCTGGCTTCAACATCCGTCAACTGTGAACTGTGGTAAACCCATTTTAGTTTTGGCCAAAAAAAAATGGTATATATAATTGTGAATGTCACTAGCCTTCAGGGTCTCAGGTGCCTTCGGTAGTTTTTCAGACTTGTTTGGTTTCCGTCGAAATGCTCAATCTTGAATAGATGTTCAGTAGAGCTGCTCACAAGACACACGTGCCAATAGTCAAAGGAATATAGGAGGGAGTGGACGAAACGGGATGGGTCAAAAGATTGCATCCAACGTACAGCCCAGCTCACCCTTACTTAACAATAATAGGTGTCAACCAAACCTGACTTAACAGAATGAGGCTGGCATCATACCAACATCTGTCAGGTTCTCCCCCCTTCCCCATGAAAATCCTATGTAATAGTTTCCTGTTGTGACCCTTGAAGTTACGAAATGGTCTGTAAATCTTGCCCTAACCTACGCCACTGACAAAAGGGGTGCTAACAGCACATAATTTCAAGTGAAGTAATGGTCAGAAACCACCCTGATGGCTAGAAACTCAAATAACGTATTACAATATTACATGTGTATATATATATATACATACTCAATTATATGTCTTCATATTTACATATATATATATTATACGTAGCTACCTGGAACCCAGCTGACCCTATCTTGGAGCATTTGACCCATAACATGGAGGATTTAACGTCAAAAAATGGTAATTTGCGTTCTAGGTATGTATGTATCTACAAATATATATATATATATATATATATATGTCCCCAAAAGAAGTAGCTACTCAGCTATTCTGAGTTTCTTTTTCTGGGGGGAGTGTAGAAGAGGGGGCGTCTTAACTAGGACCGTTTTGGGGCTTTCAAACTGTGTCTCAGGTGTGCTTGTTAACCACGCTTGCTTAAGGGTCTCAACTCTGGCCCGTTTAGGGTCTGAACCCACATTGTTTTGAACCAGGCCGTCTAGAGCTCCAAGCTCAAAAAAAAACCGGGCTCCATTTCCAAATAAAGCCGGGCTCCATTTTCACATAGAGCCGGGCTCCATTTCCAAATGGAGCCGGGCTTCATTTCCAAATAGAGCTGGGCTCCATTTTCAAATGGAGCCGGGCTCCATGTTCAAATAGAGCCGAGCTCCATTTTCAAATAGAGCTGGGCTCCATTTCCAAATAGAGCCGGGCTCCATTTCCAAATAAAGTCGGGCTCCATTTTCACATAGAGCCGGGCTCCATTTCAAAATGGAGCCGGGATTCATTTCCAAATGGAGCCGGGCTTCATGTCCGGGCTTCATTTCCAAATGGAGTCGGGCTTCATTTCCAAATGGAGCCGGGCTCCATTTTCAAATAGAGCCGGGCTCCATTTTCAAAAAGAGCCGGGGTCCATGTCCGGGCTTCATTTCCAAATGAAGCCAGGCTCCATTCCAAATAAAGCCGATCCCCATTTTCAATTATAGCCGGACTTCATTTCGAAAAGGAGCCGGAATTTGAAGCCCCGACTGACCGCTGCAAGGAGCGACGCCGCACCCAAAGGGCAACAGGTTCTTATACCATTGGGCTGCCCGGGCTTGGGGCTTGAGTCTGCTGTCCTGCTGGCAACAAGCCATCACCCTCCTACCCTTCCGGACGCTTGTGCAGCAGCTGTCCAAATAGAGCCGGGCTCCATTTCCAAAAAAAGCCGGGCTCCATTTCCAAATAGAGCGGGGCTCCATTTTCTTTGAGCCGGGCTTCATTTCCAACTAGAGCCAGCCGCTGCTCTATTTGAAGCTGGAAATGGAGCCAGCGGCTCTATATGGAATGGAAATGGGGCCAGCGGCTCTATTTGGAGCTGGAAATGGAGCCAGAGCCTCTATTTGGAATTGCAATTAGTCGGCATGGTTCAAAACAGTCGGGGTTGGAAATCTCAAAACAGTCGGGGTTAAAACCCTAGCGGGGCCGGAGTTAAGAAACTAAACAATAGTCAGAGTTTAAAAAACGCAGTCGGAGTTGAGATGCCCTGTGGAGTGCAGAACTTCTTCCCTCCCCAAACTTTATCGGAAAAAATGTGTGGCAAAATCCTGCTGTCATCTCATAACCTGCTGATTGGCGTGGCAGCAATTGCCGCTAGAAGGCCACGTTTCCATATTGGATAAGTTCATAACCATAAAGAATAAACATTCTAAGAGCAATCTCTGTCTCTCTCTATATATATATATACACATATAAATAATGATATGTCAAAATAAACATGTGTAAGCCATATTTAACATGACCACATCAAATCTTAACCCGCCATAACCAACGCCTCGATGTAGTCCACACTCTTCGCCACAAAGTCACGTTCCGAGGACGCCAGGATCCGTTCGATGCCCATTGCCCAATGGCGCGGTCCCGGAAGCGGCAAGCGTTACAGCACCAATGGTGTGGGACCCATGACTGATCATCATGCGCATGATACATCATTGTACTACCCTATGGATCCAAGTACCTTCTTAGGAAGTGTTTGGGGTATAATTTACTATAATTTGGAGGCTTAAGTACCTTCTCAGACAGTGTTTGGATCCATAGGGCTATACAGGTCTATACAGTTTGATGATTGCGAAACATTTTTGTTCTCTACAGTTTCATGACTTACTGGTGCTTTTTACGTAGGGAATGGATGGCAATGGGGTTGCTGGGATGATTATTACTAGTGATTCTGGATCATTCCCGAAAATTCCCTGCTAAGCACCAGTAAGATGATTGCGAAACATCTTGTTTTGTGAAATTCATGAACCTGCAGCAAGAAAAGTCGATCTAATCAATCTAGCTTTAGCATGCTTTAGCCTGCTTTGGCATGTTTAACCCGCAAATGAGGGCCATTGGCAGATTGCTTTTGATCCTTGCCACCAAAAACAACAAGTCCTTTTTTGAATTTGACTCCGTTGGTGAAACAACAGTATGTTGCAAGAAAATCGGGATGGGACCTTTGCAAATCTACTAATTATTGTAATCTCTCTCTTCCTGCTGTGTGACCATTGGATTTATTTTGCCCTTTTGTATCCTTTTGTCTCATATTACAAATGTTCAGGAAATCCAAAGAGCCGTCAATATTGGCATCCGGTCATGTCATACCACCCCTACCATTGATCAGCGCACAAACCACGGGGTCAAAACTATGACCTTGTCAGAAAAGTTTAGCAATCCCCTAAAAAAATAGAGGTAAGTTCACACTATTAAAGTACGAGTAGGATGTTACATTTCTACACTTGTTTATCTTTCGAGGGTCGCTGTATACAGAACATGACCTGCATGATCATTTTAAAGAATGAAGACATTCTCGAATCAGCAACGAGGACAGCACATGTTTCAACTTCTCAGACGAATCTGAAAGTGTAGCGAAATGTAACCGCTAATCAGATTAGCATATAGATCAACTAAACAACATACAAGCAACAATACCCTCTGGTAAAAAAACGTAACTATGGAAAATCACCATTTTGAAAGGGTAAATATGCACTATTTCTATGGCCATTTTCAATAGCAAACTGTTAGTTTACCAGGCCGGGTAAATTCTATCCGTGGATGCCCTCGTTGAAAGCCCCTCGTTCCCCTCGTTCCCAGCCGCTTCGGCGATGGTTTCCAAAGTCATAAGGGGTACCCCTAGTTATCATCCAAATCATCCATTTATAGATGGGACTTCATCCATTTATAAATGGGATTTCATCCGTTTATAGATGGGATGTTCCAAGAAATAAACCAACCAACCAGCTATTGGCAATAATGTGTCCTTTTGTTAAAAATAGGTATAGGGGCCGGTGACTGGCTAATCACTTAATCCCATCTATCATCATTTATATAGCTGTTGTTAAAGGGGTTTCTGAAGAAACCCTTCTATTAATCAACCAACCAATGGGAAAAAGACATCTATGGGTCCTGGTTGGTGGTAAAACAACCCCTCTGAAAAATGTGAGTCAGATTGGATCATCATCCCAACTATTGGGGAACATAAAAATTAAATGTTCCAAACCACCAGGTTCATATTATGGGGAAGGGATTCATTGAACTGACATATTTTCTTCAAAATGGCAGAGAAAATCTCCTCCCTAGCATCTTTGATCACAAGGAAACTGGTAACTATGAAACTCAATTTTGCAAAAGAATGGGAATGGCCCAGGCCAAAAGACCCAAATGAATCCAAATGACAACATTTGGTTTCACGGCAATCCTGTAAATCAGATACGAGGCCCCAACTAATTTGCACGCCCCTGATTGTTGATTGCATCTCCATATCCACCGCTTTGCACGAGAGATGTAACATGTTCCACAATAAACCAGATATAACTAAGCAACTATTGAATGTATCCAACATCTGAGTCCAGATTTTCCTTACACTGCCTACATAAGCATCTTGATAAATTATATTAAATCATTATCATTTTACCAAGAATTGTCAAAACATAGGATAGCTATCCCAACAGCCTATCCTTATCCAGCGTCGGAGGTTCATGACTAGACCTTGGTGGCTAAAAAACTCTTGGCCCCTCCATCAACCAACTCTGGTAACTCTGGGCAAAGGACTCTGCACCCCAAACGACCTTCGCGACCTATCAATTTCTTTTCCACGAAACGGAACGATTTTTTGGCGAGCAGCCGCTTGGACGAAAAAACCCTACGCGCCCGTCTCGGCGCTGGACTTGCGGTGTCCACCAACGAAACCATGAAACCGAGATGTGATCCAAATCGAAACCTCTCTGGATTCATCAATTAAGATTTTTAAGGTTCTATGTTTTTTTTCAGGCAAAAATCGGAAAACCATGGTTTTTCGCGTTTTTCTTCAGGGAAAAATCCAGACAACCATGGTTTTTCCCAATGGGATGTTTCGGGGGTCTTTATGGGGTACCTATCCAACGATCCCGAAAGATCCGGGTGACTTCACTGCGGGCGGCAGCGACATCTTGCCAGTTGGTATATAAATGGTACTTGGTGGCTCATCCCACTTAGTAAATGGGTTATAACCCCAGTTATAAATGGGATAAGTAGGGTTAATCCACTTATAACTGGGGTTATAACCCACTTACTAAGTGGGATGAGCCACCAAGTATATATAATAGTTAGTATCATAAACCATGGTTAATATATGGTTAATAGATGGTTAATATCTGGTTGTTATATGGTTAATGATGGTTAATTAATAATAATCTGATTGGTGATTTTAACCATCTTGAAAAATATGAGTTCGTCAATGGGAAGGATTAATTATCCCATATATGAAATGGAAAATAACATATGTTTGAAACCACCATATATTGTACTGGTTGGTGGTAAAACAACCCCTCTGAAAAATATGAGTTCGTCGGTTGGGATGATGACATTCCCAACTGAATGGAAAAATAAAACATGTTCCAAACCACCAACCAGAATGGTATATAAATTCTATAGAAATCTACAGTGTTTTATATAATTCTTGTCAATGGTTACCAACTGGTGCAGGATTTCGCCATCCACAGAAAGTTGTCTGTGCATGCTGTGTATTGTGTTCGGGTGGTCCTTGTTTCTGCTGCGTTGACATGTAGCTCATTTAATGGAATGCAATCTAGTGCATTGCAATCCGATATAATGTAAACCAATTTCATCATGGGTTGCATGTGTATGCATATGTATACATATATACTGTATATCTGAATGCATGTATGTAATATATGTAATGTATTCATACGCGTGCATGTTTTTTTGCACCAACGCAGGAATGGTGACGCAATGCGATGTCATGCGACGCATGCAATCCAATTTGATGCAATACAATTTGATGCGATACAACGCAATGCAATCTAAAACGCTGCCAATTCAAAACCAATAAGTGACATCATATATAATTGTAACTATAACACGTTCATATTAATTACAAATATGTACGAATATAACACATTACAACTATGAATTGTGTGCCCATACATCTCTATGTTCCACAAACGTGCGTGATCACCAGCTGGACCCTGCTTGTGTGTCCTTGTGTGTGTCCTGCTTTTGGAACGACCAGAGCCATTCATATGCTTCATGGTGTTGGAATATTTCCCGACCGTTGGGTCCTTTAGACGGTAAATGTTGGGAAGTACCCTCTGGTAAACTAACATAGCTATTGAAAATGGCCATTTATAGTGAGTTTTCCCATTAAAAATGGTGGCTTTCCATAGTTATGTTAGTTTACCAGAGGGTATTGCAGCACCAAGGAGCATTTGGGACATCTAGCTTAAGACATAGAATGATGTTCCGTGGAGTTCTCCAGTCTATTGCTTACACACGGGGAAACGCTTGTCTCATTTCAAATGTTGGTGTCCACAGCAGCCCATCGCATCAAACGCACATATCTATTTGCGGTCTTGACTTGTGGGATAGCAGAGAGTGGCCCGACTGAGACTGAAAACTTTTTTTTCTAAATGTGAACTCAATGGTCATCCAAGAAGAATCCAAAACAACCAAAAAACATACACAAACAATACAAAACCAATACACGAAACCAGACAAAGACAAAAGAAAAACCATACACAATTGACCACATCAATTTCCAACAAAACCCACAATTGTGGCTCCTGTGGCTCCTGCCAGAGCGATGAATTTAAAACAGGATTCAACTTCCGGCTTCCATGGGTCAATGGGCTAGCCATGGATACCCGGTTTAAAACATGAGTTACTGGTTGGTGGTAAAACAACCAACCCCTCTGAAAATATGAATGTCAGTTGGGATGATGACATTCCCAACTGAATGGACAAATAAAAACATGTTCCAAACCACCAACCAGAAAAAATAACGATCATTTCCCTTATTCATGGCAATTTGGGGGCCGTAGTTTGGCATCAGAAAAGCGTCACTTTGAAGTCAAACAAAACACATCACACCACTCGGGCATGACAACCCAACATGATTGCAAATCAGCAGCTTCAATCCGATACCCTCTGGTGAACCAACATAGCTATGGAACATGGACCATTTATAGATGATGTACCTATAAAAAATGGTGATTGTCCATAATTAGCTTTGTTGGTTTACTGGAGGGTAAGAGTTCCATGTTTTGTCATCTTCGACCACAAAAGAATCAACCAACACCGTAGCTTTGCAGCTCTGGCAGCCAAGAAACCAAACTCGCGACATGTTCCTCATCCAGGATAATGTTGTAGCCCAAACCATAAACATCCATAATATATATCCTACTTATCTACTTTACATATCCCCAAGTGGAGGTTTAGGTTATGCGTTCAACATGGGCAACCCAAAAACAAAACTACCATTTGGGGATGGTCTATACGTATTGGATTGAAAACATGGGTTGAACACATGAACACAAACCGTTTGAAGGGTAGTGAAGGTTCGGGAATTTCACCACCCAAGGCGAAGATAGGCAGCACATCTCAGCACATCTCCACTCAGT